GATATTTTTTGATTTATATACATGATGATTGATATTTATTTTTTGTGTTTTGCTTAGATACAATCATATTTATTGCCTTTGTTGTTTCAGTTAAGGACATTCAACTACGGTGGAGGACAGCACGAGACGGATACGTGAAATTTAAGGCTTCGCAACAATATTGTCCATCTGGCAGCGGAGCAAAATAAAAAAAAAATTGTATTTGCTTGAAAAATGCAATTCTTGAATAAAGTAATGTATTACTTTATTCAAGAATCCAATCAAACCAAAGAGATGAATCTTTATCCAATCTATCATCTACCAATTCAACTTCGCAAGACTCATCAACTCAAACTCTACTCAAGAATCAAATTGCCCTACCATACTTCAACCCTCGTCGTTGTCTCAGCCATCGGTCTCTCAAACAGTAACACAAGCTCCTGCAAGTGCATCTCAAAACAGCATTGCTCCATAGCTTTCTCAAAACAAACGTAAAAGAGCGCAACTACAGCAGACTTCTGAGTTTGAGAAACAAATGCTTGAAGTACTAAATCTAAGTGTACCTAACTTAACACTGATGACTTGTCATTTTTTTCAATCCTTAGGACCAATCATTAAGAATTTTACAACATATCAAAAGCTTCTGTTTCGATCAGAAGTATTAAATTCTGCCATGAGTATTCAGTTAATGTCAAATTCTAGTGCATCTCCATTAAGCGTATCCACAAACTATTCGAGCCAAATGCAAACCGGATACCAATCTGCGGCCACACCCTACTGTGTATAACCTAATTATCCTACCGATTCTCCATTAAGCGTGTCCACAAACTGTCACATTACTGTCAACAACCTAATGGTTCTGGCACAAAAGATAGCTCTAAGAAATGATTCTAGTGTGATTTGATAGTGTCATGTGATTAATGTGAGTGTGATTCAATTTTAAGATCTTAATTTTTTAATTACTTAAGGGACCTATTACATTTTTTTTGCGTGTCTGCGTGCCAGCGCTTGATTTAACAAATTATTGAATGAAAAACTTCATTATTTAAAACAATCGAGCCGCTATCTTTTTTAGTGGTGTTGGTGGACTTTTAAAAGAACTTACAACTATGAAACTATTAAACGAAATATAGTACATTAAAGAAAGCGCCAGTCTTTCATTCGCAAGTATAGCAGTACGAAACATGTTGTTGTTTTATTCTGCTCTTTAAACTTAATGAAAAAATTTGCGCGGATCGTTCCTAAGTTTATAGTTTAAGGTTACAAATGCACTTTCGAAACATCTTGCTTCAATGATGGGATGTACCCATAGTCTCTTTCTCTGTCGTCGTCGTCTCTCACAAATTAAATAAATACCAAGAAATTTTAATTCGTTCGCATTCATTTTCATTTGCGAGTGTCTTCCGCTAGCACGCGTATCGTACTAAACACTCGTTTCAAAGCACTACGGGCGCTATCCGTAGGGGTGTCCCGCATTACAAGTTACCTGTACGGGGCTCCCGTACAGCTGTGAAACCAGTCTAAGTAAGTGTAACCAGCAAAAGTAAGTATCGATAAACGATTGCACCTTGTGAGAATTTATTACTTTTATTATTTTCACCATTTGGGAATTTGGAAGTTTCGCTTTCAGTTCACTGAGAATCTTCCACGATAGTGTTTGTGCGTTTAGCTGCTAGCGCGCATTGTTTCAAGTGATTTATTTTTCGTAAGATAAGTACAATTACTCAAACAATTTTTTTAAAGTAAATAGACACTTATTAGCTAATTAACTTTGTGAGTGTAAATAGTGTGTTATGTACGTTTATTTTTATTTATTTTTTAATATGATATTGAAACTACTTGACTTTTGTGTGTACACGTGTGTTTTTAACAGCATTTTTACAGTGCAGCAGAGTATACAGACATGGTTTTATTTTATGGTGAATGCCACCAAAATTCACCGTTAACTCTGCCTACTTATCGTGAGAGATACGGCACAACTCGCGTCTGCTCTACTAGAGTCCTGACAATCTTGGGTGCTGTCCAAAGAATCACGGAAGATAAGCACATAGTGCCCAACACTCATGAATGAGTTGCTCCGCGTCACTTTCTACCCTCTTCCGAACAACCAGTCTTAGACCATTTCGATCGGAATCCAACATTCAGCCTTAGACAAGCTGGGCGTGTGTTTAGTGTGGCATAGAACAATACACCGAGTGCTGAAAAGGAACAAACTACGTCCTTATAAATATGCAAAGGTGCAGGCACTGCTGCCCTATGATAGGCCAATTAGAAGAGGGTCTAACTGCCACTGGGTACTGGAAAAAATGTCTCAAGACCAACGTTTCCTATCAAATATGTTTTGGACAGATGAAAGCACGTTTACTCGAAACGGCATATGGATCCGACAAACCGTGCGTCACTGGATCCACACGAATCATCATTTATTTTGGGAATCAGCTCATCAATACCAATGTTCCGATGAATTACCGACTAAATTAAACACTATTTGAAGGTATAAATCTGTAATAAAGAACTGACTATACTTTAAAAAAACAACAATATTATGATACAAAAAAACCAATTTGTATAGCGCGAGTTAAGTTACAATTAGCGCCATCTGTTCATAGAAGGTAAAATCTCGCCGACATCCCGCCCGCCAAGGACTCCGTCCTTCTTCATGGTAACAGGATCAGCTTAGATACAGGATGCTTCAGGGTCGATCCTCTGCACTTCAAGCTTACTACCCTGACTTGATCATCGGGTCCAGGATGAAGCTGTATTATTCGTCCCAATAACCATTTCGCTGGAGGGAGGTCTGTTTCTTTTATGACGACCAAATCGCCAACCTTTGGTGCGTCCACTTTTGTGTGCCATTTGTGTTTTTGTTGTAAGGTATTCAAATATTCTTTGGACCATCGAGTCCAAGATTTTTATCATGCGTTGTGTCAGTTTCCAACGTTGGAGAGGACTTATGGTATCAGTGATATTGTTAGGTTCTGGTATCACTATTAAAGGTTCTCCTACTAAAAAGTGACTTGGAGTTAATGGGGAGGTATCGTTCGGATCATCACTGAGACTGCTAATCGGACGTGAGTTCAGAACCGCTTCGATCTGACAAAGGACCGTAGAAAATTCTTCGAAGGTAAGTGTCGCGTTGCCAATTGTCTTCATCAGATGTGCCTTAACAGATTTCACACCCGATTCCCATAGACCTCCAAAGTTCGGTGATTTTGGGGGAATAAAGGGCCATGAGGTTCCATCACTTTCAAGCATTTCTGCTATCTCCTTTAATACATTCGTCATGCTTTGATTAAGCATTCTTGTAAGCTCATTTGCAGCGCCAACAAAGTTCAAACCATTGTCACTCCACATTTCAGCGCAGTGACCCCTGCGTGACACAAATCGTCGAAATGCTGCAATGAATCCAGGTGTGGTAAGGTCACTTACAGCTTCTAAGTGTATAGCTTTTGTTTTCATACATACAAACAATGAGATGTAGCCTTTATAAGATTTTTGTCCCCTACCCTTTGACACTCTCATCTGTATCGGTCCGGCAAAATCTACACCACAACACTCAAAAGCTCTTCCAGGGGTTACTCTTACACTCGGAAGTTCACCCATAATTGGTTGTTGCGTTCTAGCATTGTATCTAGTGCATGTAACGCATTTACTGAGGTATTTTTTCACTGACTGTTTTAAACCTATTATCCAATATTTGCTTTTTAGGTAGTTGATTGTTAAAGAAGTTCCTCCGTGCATCACTCTTTCATGTGCATCTCTAATCAACAAATATCCCAGGTGAGTATTTTTTGGAATAATTATTGGGTCTTTATAATCTTGTGATATATTAGCTGATTGTAATCTGCCACCAACTCGTAACAAGCCCTTGTCATCTATGTATGGTGTCAGTGTGATTAATTTACTACTTCTTTTAACTTTTCCCTTTGTTTTCAGGTCTTCAAGTTCTTCAGCAAATTCGATATCTTGAGTAGTTTTAATACATGCGTCGAGAGTTGTCTTCATTTCTTCCGCGGTAAGGTAAGTAGACATTTTATTTCTATTTTCTTTATTTTCTTTTAGGTTTAGGAATCGTCTGCAATAGGTAAGTACCCGTATCATTTTCTTAAAACTTGAGAATCTATTTAGTATTGATTCTTCTGCATTGTTGTGAAATACTTTTGTGTGTTGTTTTCTTTCTTCTAATGTTGTTTCAGGTACCTGTAATTTTTTAGTATGTATGTTAGGTTTCTTCATCCAATGAGGTTCGTTCCACCACAGTTCAGCGGTTTGCAGTTCTGAGGGCTCTATTCCACGAGAAGCAATATCTGCTGGGTTTTCTGCTGAAGCTACATGATTCCATCTATCATTATCCAGTCTGGTTTGTATTTCTGTTATACGGTTAGCTACAAATGTTTGCCATCTTATAGGTTGTGATTGAATCCAAGCTAAAACAATGGTTGAATCGGTGTAGGCGTATATTTGATTTCTAGGTATTTTCAATTTCTTTGATGTTTCAGCCAGTAATTTTGCCAATAAAACGGCGGCACATAGTTCTAATCGTGCTATGGAGATTTGTTTTAATGGAGCAACTTTTGTTTTACTTTCCAGAATAGTGACATAGACTTCATCTCCTTGTATCACTCTTATGTAGAGTACTGCAGCGTATGCTGCTGTTGATGCATCTGCGAAGCCAAATAATTCAACCTTGTCATTTTCAGGGTGAGTATGTATCCATCTATTTATTTTTAAATTTTGCAATGTAAGTAGTTGTTGTCTAAAAATCAACCATTCCTGCAGAAGGTCTGATGGTATTTCTTCATCCCAGTCAGAACTACATAGCCAAAGTTTCTGTATTATCACCTTTGCTTTGATAATAACTGGAGCCAGCCATCCAAAGGGATCAAATAAACGAGCCACGTCCGAAAGTACTCTTCTTTTCGTGATTGGTTTGATAGGTTCAGGCAAGTTGACAGATATTTTGAATTGGTCATCATTTCTATCCCATGCAACTCCTAATATTTTTATGATTTTGTCTAATTTTATCTCGAATGGTTGTATGTTTCCTTGTTTTGCTGTATTATTTGTAACAAATTTTCTGAATTACTAGACCATTTCTGCAGTATGAAACCAGCGCTTTCTAATAGCTTGTTGACTTGTTCATAGATTGCTATAGCCTGTTTTTCAGTGTTAGCACCTGTCATCAGATCATCCATATAAAATGACGTCTTAACAATTTCTGCAGCTTCAGGATATTTGTCACTTTCATCATCAGCTACCTTAACTAAAGTTCTAACCGCCAGGTACGGAGCGCATGCAGTTCCAAATGTAACAGTTAGCAATCTATAGAATCTACAATTTTCATTAGGGTTGTCTCTCCATACAATACATTGGTAGTATGTATCTTTCTTCTGCACTAAAATTTGTCTGTACATTTTTGTTATATCACTTATTAATGCTATTTTATGCTGTCGCCATTTAGTTATCAAAGTTCGTAAATCATCTTGTATTACAGGTCCGGTTAGCAGTGTATCGTTTAGTGATTGTCCCTTGGAACCTCTTGCGGAAGCGTCAAATACCACTCTTAGCTTTGTGGTATCTTTATCTTCCCGGATTACAGCATGGTGAGGTAAAAATATACGATTTGAATCGTCTTCATTAGTCAAAGCCATGTGTCCTAATTCTTCGTATTCTTTTATTACTCTAGTGTATTCTTCTTTCATTTTTGGGTTCTGTTCTAATTTTCTTTCTAATTGTAAAAATCTTGAAATAGCAATTTCTTTTGTATTTCCACATTTGTCTACAGGTGTCTCTATGTTTTCTTTAAAAGGTAAGTTTACTTTATATCTCCCCGATTCTGTTCGTACTGTGGTTTTGTTGTAGATGTCTTCGCATTGTTGCTCGTCTTTACTTAACCTCCTCTCACAGGTAAGTATTTCATTTTCTACTTCCCAGAATTTTCTTAAAAGATCATTCTCACATACACATACATGCATGCTAATAACTTTGTTTTGTTTTACAGGTTGTGTGTTACTAGTATCACCAGAAAGAATCCAGCCCAGTTGTGTTTTCTGTGCAATAATACCAGACGGACTCTTGATCAATCCAACTTCTATGATTTTACTATAGACTTCAGCGCCTAACAGTAGATGAACCTGTTCTGGTGTATTATACTTCGGATCTGCCAGATCCATGTGCTCCAGCTCAGGCCAGTTAGAAATTGTAATTGATTGTTGTGGTAAATATGTTGTGATTGATTTCAAAATGTAAGCTTTTACCGGAATAGTGAAGGTTATGTTATGTCTTGACCGCAATTGTACTTCAACCATGTATTTGGTGTGAAGCTGTTTGCCTTCACTCAATCCTGAAACCACGCCGTTGATTCTTATCTTTTTCAAACCCAATGTCTGAACGATATCTTCGGTGACGAACGAGGCTTGTGAACCTTGGTCAATGAGAGCACGATAGACGTGTTTTTGACCCTGACGCGAAGTCACATCTACCAATGCGGTGGCTAATAGTATTTGACCAGGCTGATGTACGAAATGTGATACTATGTTTTGACTTGAGTCTTTATGACAATTTTCCCTAACAGATTCATCCCTTTTCTCCGGGTGTAGCAACGAGTGGTGTTTCTTATGGCAAATTCGGCACGACGTCTTCCTCATACATTTATTAGATGAATGGTTTGGTATCAAACAATTAAAACATAAATTATTCTCTTGAACGAAGCGGTGTCTCTCTACGTATTGTAGTTTGGCAAATTGTTTACACTGATAAATGTAGTGGTTTTCTTTGCAGAATGCACAAGAGATATTTGTAGGTTCTATTGAGGTGTGAAAGGCTTTGGTTCTCGTTGGTTTAGTGGTGTGTTCAATCATTTCTAAAGACCGGAATCTAGTTTCTAAAAATTCTTTTAAAGTGTCAAAAGAAGGAAAATCATCTTTTTCTGAAGCAATATGCTGTTCCCACAAACGATGGCTTTCTGTATCTAATTTAGAAACTGTCATATAAATCATGATCGCATCCCAAGACTTAATTGGCAACCCTAGGTTCCTCAATGAGCTTAAACATTCAACAGTTGTATCAAGCAGGTATTTAATCTGATAAGCTGACTGTGTTGTTATATTTTTGATATTAAAAAGTTTTTTGAAAATGCTGTTTGAAATATATCTTTTATTGTTGTATCTGTTTTTCAGTATTTCCCACGCTTCCTTATAATTTTGACTTGTAACTGTTATTGTACGCAGCAGCTGTTCCGCTTCACCAGACAAACTTGATTTTAAATAGTGGAGCTTCTGAACGTCATCTATTGATTGATTAGTATGTATGATGGAATTGAATAAATCATGAAACGATGGCCACTCGGTGTATTTTCCAGAGAATTGTGGTATGTTAATTGTCGGCAACTTTAACTCGGGCATTGTTTTTTTGTTTTCAGGTAAGGCGGTAGTAGGCGTAACGGGTGACAATTCGGATATTTTTGTTTTTAAATCACTTTTGTAATTGATGTAAATCTCCTCACAGGTCTCATATAAATCATCGTTAAAATAGTTTAAGGCACTTCTTGATTCTACAGGTGTATCTTGCACAAGGTATTCATGGGTAGTTTTGAATGAATTCCATTTCATCTCCAATATTTCTAAACGCGTCTGCAAGTATGCTAAATTAATCCTGGACTTTGGAGATTTCCCGTAGTTTATTTGTGCTTTTCTAATTTCGTCTAGTCTTTCATTTTGTAGGTTTAACGATTTATTTATTTGTTCCATTTTAAGGTTATGAAAATATTTTGATATAACTTTCAAAGTTATATCAAAATATTTTCATAACGATCAAAGTTCAACTAGAAGTTCCTTTCACTGGTATTTATTTAAAGTACAGATGTTTTATTTAGCGTTAAAGTCAATGTCCATACAAAATGAGTCGAAATTTTTCTGTTTATTTCACTCGCGAATTTTCTAAGTCCAACTTTCATACAAAACGAATCAATTTTTTTTCTAAGTGTTTTTGTTTTCATACGCGAATTTTCTAAGTCCAATGTTCATACGATTTCACTCCGAAATTGTTCTATGTTTTTACACTCGCGAAAGATTTTACAAGTCCCTGATACTATTCTTTTACTCACGGTTATCGAAGTTCAATCCACAACACTGAAATCCGTAAGTTTGTCACTACACAACACTTCACTTGTATACCGCACTGTCCTATTTTCGTTAACACTTCCTAACTTCCTACTACGCACTCACTTATCCGACTCGTAGGACCACTTTGTTCCGATGAATTACCGACTAAATTAAACACTATTTGAAGGTATAAATCTGTAATAAAGAACTGACTATACTTTAAAAAAACAACAATATTATGATACAAAAAAACCAATTTGTATAGCGCGAGTTAAGTTACAATTAGCGCCATCTGTTCATAGAAGGTAAAATCTCGCCGACAACCAATTTTCCATTAATGTTTGGGCAAGCATAACTACACCACGAACTACACTAAGTTGTTACACATTATTAATACCTACGCATTACGTATTTCGCGTGAGTAGCGATCGGTGTTAGTTCAGTTCGCGGGCGGGTGGATGGGTTGCGCGGGGGTGGGTCACTCGCTCGCTCGCTCGTTACGTGTCTTCGTCGTCCGGAGCCCGCCCGCAGCGCAGACAGTCGATCTCCGTTCATGCGATAGATACTACGCAATTTAGTATTGTAGGTATTTGGTGTGTTTGGGTTGGGCTTCTTTGCTTTGCTCTGCTTGGTTGACTGTGGTTTGGGTTTTGCTAATGATCTCCTACAGTAACAGTGATATTGAAGAAGAAGTTAGACGAAAGAAACAAAAACGGCTTTGCGTTTACCGCGACCAATGGGAGAATACATACGATTTTATAACGAAAGATTCTGCAAATGCTTTTAAAGCTTTTTGTAAAGTATGTCGCAAAGGATTTTCTAATTCACATGGTGGTCGAAATGATATTAAAAGGCATACAGCAGGACCAGATCATCAGAGGCTAGAAAAATTAAGTAAGAAAAATCAAACTTTGACTATGTTTTTAAAGCGAGACATTTTGACTACAGATGACGAGAAAATTATAGCGGCGGAATTAGTGCAGGTTTATCACGGTTCAACACAGTATTCTGTATACGACTACTGACTGTCGCGGAAAATTTTGTAGCGTCATATTTTCCGACTCGAACATCGCTAAAAAAATTTCACTCGGTAGAAGTAAGGCAAGTTCCATTGCATTTAATGTACTTGCACCAGCTTCGCTAGAAGATATAGTGAACGAGTTAAAAGATAACATTTATATATTTCAGTACTTCAACCGACGCATCCAACCACAGCAACATAAAATTGTTCCCATGCTTGTACGACTTTATAGTCCCGATGTCGGACTTCGTGTTGCTTTATTAGATTTTTATGAAGAACCTAACGAGACGGCCGCAGACCTCTTTACAAATTTGAAAACCAGATTAGAAGCGTTCCATTTAAAAATGGATAATATTTCAAGTTATTCTGCACTTAACTGCAATGTTAATTTTGAAATCCATCACTCCGTATATCAACTTCTTTTGAAAGAAAACGCAAATATTTTTCTGCCCAGCTCATCTTTTGCATAATGAGGTAAAATATGGTATGCAGAAGTGTGATTATACATACATAAACACTCACGCCTGTCACTCAGAGGGGTAGGCAGAGACTTTGGACTTCCATTTGGCATGATCCTGACACACCTCTATCGCTTCCTCCACATCCATATACCTACGCATACACGCTCGTCGGTTAAAGGTACTCTTGATTTGGCCCATTTTCAATATATCGCCAATTTGGTAGATAAACTTTCGCCTAGGGCGTCCCTATTTATGCTGTTCAACCTATTTATGGACAGTTGTTTGAAAAATTTGAAAGTAGAAGAATGCGGGTTAAGAATGGGTGAGTTAACCGTCAAATGCCTTTTGTACGCCGATGATCAAGTCATACTTGCGTCGTAGGCGGCCGAATTGCAAATTATGGTTACATTAATGAACAGGACATTAAAAGAAAAGGCAATGAAAGTGAATGCAAGTAAGACGAAAGTTATGGTTTTTGAAAGAGAAGAAAGTAAAACGATATGTGAAATAAGAATAGAAGGGGAGTTGGTCGAGCAAGTAGATGAGTTTGTGTATTTGGGATGTGTATTTAGCAGGGATGGTAGATATGATAAGGATATAGAAGGACGAGTGAACGCAGGAAATAGAGTGAATGGGGCTCTACACCCTATTGTGAGAAGTCAGAATGTGTCCAAAAAGGCACGTATGGCAATTCACAATGCTGTGTTAGTTCCTACTTTAATGTATGGTAGTGAAAGTTGGGTGTGGCAGAAGAAGCACGAGAGTAGAATAAATGCTGTAGAAATGCGATCATTAAGGAGTATGTTAGGGATGAATCTGAATGACAGAGTGAGAAATTATGATAAGAGAAGAGTGTGGCTTGCAAGATGATGTTGTGACCAGGATTAAGAAGGGAATGTTTCGGTGGTTTGGGCATGTAGAAAGAATGAATGAGGAAAGAGTGACAAAGCACATTTATGTTGCAGAGGTGAACGGCAGAGTCGGGAAGTGTGATTTTGACATTGAAATCTAGTGTTGAAAGTTTACGGTCATTTATCGTTCCATTCACAAAGAGTGCGAAAACTAAA